TATTGAAGGGGTGGGATCCATATAGATTTCCTGTAGGATGTGTCTCTTGAGCTGAGCTTTGAAGAAAACAAGGGAATTTATGAGGTTGAGGTGAGTGGGGACATGCATTGCAGCATGGGGACAGACTGCAAAGGCAAGGAGGCAGAAAGTATTCTGTTGTATGGAGGGCAGCATAGTACAATGGAAAGAACACAAGCCTTAGAGTCAGAAGATCTGGATTCAAATTCTGCCCATTACTTTCTACACAGAGATGTGTCATACCCTCCTCCTTCTTCCCCACCCTTCTGAACCTCAGTTTCCCTGTATGTCTCAGAGCCTTAGTCCGTTTACCTGTGAAATAATGGGGTTGGACTAGATGGTCCTTCCTGCTCTAGATCTGTGACCTTATCTTGGAACAGTAAGCAGGCCAAGTTTGGTTAGAATGTGCCATTCATGAAAAAAAAAATGATTGCATGGTATCCCAGGAAAGGTGAGTTGGCTACAGATTCTGAAAGGGTTTTTATAAGTCCAGCAGAGGGATTTGTATTTTATTCTAAAGGGAAGAGGGAGTCACAGGAGTTCCTTGAGCATGGGAGTGACATGATTAGACCTGTGGTTTTAGAAGATCAATTTGGCAGCTTTATGGAGGATGGATTGGAGATGAGAGAGGTTAAAGACCAGGGAGCTGTTAATTAGCTGTTAATGCCTGTTGGCATTTGTCTGCGTGACAGATGTGAGGACCTAAATTAAGATGGTGGCTATGTGAGGGAGAAGAGGAGAGACAAAAGGCTTATTATAGAGGTAGAATCAATAAAACCTATCAAATGATTGGGCTAAGGGGTGAAAGAGAGGGAACAGTCAAAAATGACTGTAAAAACAGTGGTGCCCTCTGTAGAAGCAGGGAAGTTAGGAAGAGGGAAAAATTATACTTCATTGTAGTCAGAAGGCCAGTAAATTTCTTTCACAGATGTTTGCTCTTAAAACCCCCATTGCCTTATTTTTCCCTAATCTAACTAGCATTTTTACAAACTGACTCATGTTACTTTCCAGTTTAGCTAGAATTAGAAGAGAAGTGTGGAGGTGGGAGTGGGAGGTGAGGTCACTGCCTCCCTTCTCCTATCAAGGCTTAGCTATGAGGAAGGACCTTTTTAAAGAAAAACATTTATTATAATGCCTTTGTTTCAGCAAGTATTAAGGCAAGGCCTATGAGCTAGACGCACGAGGAGCTCAGAGAAGGAAAGGCAGCTCTGCCTAGGCTGAAGTATAGTCTGAGGAAGAATACTTTTCATTCCAGTCATGGAGTAAAGAACAGGGAGTTGAAGCAATGGTGAAGATTTCTGGGAGAGAGACTGGGATAGGGAAGTCAAGCAGATATTTAGCTCCTCCCAGCTGTGTCACAATTATTTATTCTGAAGTGTCTTAAATCCCCAGGATGTTAGACCTGCCTGTATTCCAAATATCCATCAGTGGGTGTTTGATCTTATCAGTGTGGGCGTTTCATCTGTTGGTGTGAATTATGACCTCACCATGCTTTCTCGTTATGTGTAGTTTTCATCTGCGTTCTTCCATAACACCCTCATGGAGGACATATCCAACCTACCTTCCTCTAGTTGAGTCTTTTGCTTGACAATGGTGTGAATATGACCCTGGGTTCTCGAAGGCTACCCAGGAGAGCCTAAACTTTGGCAGCTTCTCTCATGCTAGAAAGGTTTCGCTTATAGTATCTGAAGACTGACCTAGCCAAGAACAGAGACAGATAAATCACCAGGAGGTTAACCACTAGGGGTTGAAGTTTTGGACCATGGTAAGTCAGTGCATGAAAGAAAAGTAAATTTCAAATATAAACTTGAAAATGTATTCCAGAGGTAAATATAAGGGATTTTTAAATTATTTGCTCTTTGAAATAAGTAGTGTTTTATAGGAGCACAGGTACTAGAATCAGAAGACTTCAGTTTGACTTCCATCTCCTATATTTACTTAATATCTGACCTTGAACAAGTCACCTAACTAGTCTGTCTCAGTTTTCTCAATTGGGATTATAATATCCTCACTATCTACCTTACAAGGTGGTAGTGAGGAAAATACCTCACAACTATTAAAGCACTATAAAAATATGACTTGTTATGGAAATGAGTTATTTTATTAATTATTTTAATAATTCCCCTCTACTGGTACTGATAATTAAAAGCTGATTATAAATCTTAAATTAGATAGAAACTTCTTTTTTAATTTTTAAAAATTGTTTTAGATAGAAACTTCTATGTATATATAGTAGGCACTCAAATGTTTGTTCAATACAGAATAAATTGCATGCAGAAATCATGACATGAAAGTCATAGCATCATAGATTTATAGCTGGGAGGAACCTTAGAGACCATCCAGTACAAACCTTTCATTTCACTCACGAGAAAGATACATCTGAGAGAGGCTAAATTATTTGATGTTTATTCCCTCTTCTTTCCTCAACCCTTTTCAGTCTGACTTCTAACTCCATCACTTAGCTGAAGCTGCTCTCTTCAAGATCTCTCAGTTGCCAAGTCTGATGGTCTGGTTTTGGGATTTTGTTTTTTGTTTTGTTTTGTTTTGCTTTGTCTTCACTCTTCCTGCAGTTTTTGACACTGACTGATGACTCTCTCCTCTTGGGTACTTTCCCCACTCTGAGTTTTCATGACACTGTTCTCTTTTGGTTTTGTCTTCCCGCCTATCTGACCACTCCTTTGTTGATTTATCATCTATACCATGATCTCTGACTATGGGTGTTCCCCAAGATCCTCATCTTTCCTCTTTACACCCTCCCACTTAATACTGTCGCCAACTCCAACCAGTTTAATTGTCCTCTTTATGCAGATGACCGCTGGGTAATATCCTGGTCCTAATATCTCTCCTGAGAGATGATGCAGAGAGGCGATGCAGGCCTGCATCACCAATGGACGTTTTGCCTGATGGGCATTTTGTACTGGATGTCCTATAAACGTTTTAAACTCAGCACATCCAAAGTAGAACTCATTTCCACATATCCCCTACAAAATGTTCCTTCTATTGTGGATACCACGATCCTTCTAGTCACCTAGCTTTATATCCTTTATTTCACCCCTGACTTCTCCCTCTCATTCGCCCCACATACTCAATCATTTGCCAGATCTTGTTTGCCAAATCCGCAGTTCTCTCCCATATGTCCTTTCCTCTCAACTCACATAGCCAGCACCATGTCACCCTGCCTCACTTCTCTCCCACCTCCAATCCAAGCTTCCCAGAACTTCCAAAATAATTTTCCTAAAGCACACATCTGATTATGGCAACCCCCTAATACAATACATTCCAGTGGCTCCTTATTAATCTGGAATAATTTGTATGTCCATGGTTACACGAATAGTAAGCGGTAGAGCCAAGATCAGAACTCTTTTACTCCAGATTCTGTGCACTTCAAACTAGGATTGTAACAGTCCAGATAAGGAGCTAGAAGAGATTTCAGAAGCCATCTAGTACATTTCCCTCATTTTGCAGATGAAGAAACTGATGCCGGGGAGTTTAAGTAACTGCTCTAAGGTCACACAGATAATAAGCATCAGAGGCAAGATTCAAAGCTAGGTCCTCCAACTCCACATTCTGTGTGTACTCTTTCCACTGTTCCACCATATTGCCTTCTGTATCTTTTTATATAATGGAGAAATGTGTAATTACAATCTAATTTGAAAACAAGTGCCTCTTGAAAGGGGAGCAGACAGAGGTTAAGTCACAGGTCACATAACTAGTGAGGGTCTGAGATGTGATATGATTTCAGGTCTTCGTGACTCTAGGCCGAGTACTTTAACCACTGTATGCCACCTAGCTGCTTGGCACATAATAAGCACTTAATAAATGCTTGTTTCTTTCTTTCCTCTTTGAGGAAACCAGTTTATATTTGCAATTTCCTATCAAACTATATGTTATGGTGGCAGTTCTCAAAATGTGGTCCAAGGGGTCCTGAGATCTTGTCAGGGGGTCTGCAATGTCATAACTATTTTTATAATAATACTAAGATGTTATGTGGCTATTAAAAAGGTCCTCTCTTTTCTTTTCTTTTTGGCTAGGCAGTGGGGTTAAGTGACTTGCCCAGGGTCACACAGCTAGTAAGTGTTATGTGTCTGAGGCCGGATTTGAACTCAGGCCCTCCTGAATCCAGGGCCGGTGCTCTATCTACTGTGCCACCTAGCTGCCCCTCTCTTTTCCAATTATGTATCTGAGGCTGGATTTTCTTCATGTATTTCAACCAGAACAACATATGGCAACAGATTGAATGTAGAAGCAGATATGAGAACTCAGCTGTCTTCTATTAAGTAAAACATTAAAGAGATTTTATGTATATGTAAAAATACATATGTATATATAAAATATGTATATATATGTCAAAATATGTAAAGTATCACTTCTCATGAATTTGTTACAGAATCCATTAAAATGTTGTTTCAAGAAAAAAAAAGAAAACAAGTGCCTCTCAAATGACATGTAGATGTTAAAAATACAGGAAGTAAGATATGGAGAAAAATACTACATAGAAGAAAGGAAGTGTGGTTTCATGGTCAGAACCAAAGCTAGGAATTTAGGAGCATTTGTTCTACCAACATTGACTCCTTGTCACATTAGAGAAATTCCATGGTTTGTCTGAGCCTTAATTTCTTCTTTTTTTTAAATAATATTTTATTTTTTCCCCAATTACATGTTAAAACAATTTTTAACTTTTCTTTTTAGTTTTGAGTTCCAAATTCTATCTTTCTCTCCCTCTTTCCCCTTCTCTCTCCCTGAGACAGTAAGCAATTTGATATAGGTTATACATGTGCAGTCATTTCATCATCTATAAAATGGAATTGATAACAATAACCAAACCAATGCTGTTGGTAAATCCTTAAGCAAAATACTTAAAATATTGTAATTTTAATATTTATTTCCCAAGGCAAAAAATTCCTGTTTACCTTAATCTGATCTGATTATCAAATATTTTCATATTGATACAACTTTTCTTTCCTTTTTTTGTTGTTGTACAGTCAGAAAAATATCCTGTTCAAGATACAGGTCTCCCTAAAGGTATGTACAATAATAGTTATTTTAATTTTAATGCAACTATTTTTATTTAACTGAGTTTGGTTAAATGATAAAGCTGTTTTGAACCATAGTTCAGCCAAAATACGACCCTTTTTTCTGAATTTAATAACATATCATGAACAATTTACAGCTTCCTTTTGATAAGTAGTAATATAGTGTAGTGGATAGAGTGATGGCCTCAGAGCCAGAAGAGCTAGATTCCAAACTTACCTCCAATACATGACTGCTTGCATGATTCTAGGCATGTCATTTGATCTTTCCAGTGGCTTAGGAGCGCTTGAAGAGAAGGTGTTGATCTGTTTTGGTAAAGGACTTTTCTCATCAATAATTCCCTATCACGATAAAATTGAAGGTCTGGTCCCAATTATGTATGTGTGTATGTTCAACATACATACCCATACATAAATATATTATATACATGTGTATATTTCCATATAAATAATTTGACATGTGGCTTACTACACAAATATCTCTAAAATGGATTTTGTCATCAAAATCTCTAAACTATTTCTCATTTTGTCTTCATTAAAACTTAAAGTTTTAATTAGTTGAATGACATTCCCATCTGTGGCCTACTTGTGCCAGACTGTAAAGTGTTCCACTTGTTCATTTAAAGCTAATGAACCTGAGCACTCTCGACCTCCAGTGCCAATACACAGCATAGACCACTGAAATCACGTGGCCTGTCTTCTATTGCTTACACTGCAGGGCATCTTGCAAAGTTAGATTTTGTCATTGAAGCGAGCCAGGTGATTGTGAGATCACAGGCCTGAACATGTACGTGGAACATTTGAACCTGACACCATTGCCAAGTCAGAAATTTTGCTTTCGATCTGAGGCCTCCCTTGGGGGGAGGAATGGGCTGGGAAGGGAGAGAGGAGAGGACAGGTAAACTCCCTGCAGTCAGATACAGCTGCAGATACCTGTAATTTCTGCAGAAATGTCAGAGGTAGAAAATCTCTCTCTCCTCTCTCAGCATTACCCAAGTGGGCAGTTTTATTAGGCTCTATCACTACCACGGAAACAGTGGAAATTCCCACCAAACTTGGGTTTCCCCAACAGTTTTCTTATACAGGCAAATGATCTCAAAGCTGCTTCTTTGGAGGACTGGGAGGTACTTTCTGGGCTGAGTATAAGTACAGGCAAAGTAGTCATAAACTACTTTCCCCTCCAATTTGATAAAAATAAAAGATAAAACTTATACAGAGTATCCTCCAAAGTCTCAATACAATTTAAGCAGTAAGACTTTTGGGGACACCATGTCTGTACATTTTATTCCCTGATGTTAGAATTTCCCTAATTAGAGATTCATTTTTATGCTTCACCTCCACTGCCCTCCTCACCCCCTACCCTACTAACAACCCTGGGAAAAGTAACATATGACATTATTTGCTTAAGGTAAAGAAACACATTGCTAGGTTTTTATACTAATGAGGAGGGATAGAACATACAAGCACCGAGTACTTGAATTGGAGGGCAATTAAAAGATGGGGCAGCAGGGAGAACATAAAGAGTGGAAGAAAGGGAAGTCTAGGAGTGCCCAAGGGAAGCCCTGCCCACTATATTTAAAAGGATTTTTCAGGAGGGATCAGAATTTCTAAACTGCTTAGAAATTCTCCCTAGCCTTTTTTTAAAAAATAACTCCATTTTGTAGTACTACTCATGGAAAATTGAAAACATCTCAAAATAAAGAGGTGTTAAACCAAATAATCTTTAATGATCTTTCTAGCTTTAATTTTCCATGTAAAAAATAGCAGCTATTCAAATGTACAACCATTTACCTACAGCTGCCAAATGACCTGATTGCCTCTCCCACTTCTTTTTCTCTGTCTCCATATATATATATATATATATATATACATGTATACATATTATATAATTTTAAAACTTCTTTGAAATGAATCACAAATCTATGATCCAATTCTCTCTTTATATATATATATATATATATATATATATAAATTTATTTGAAATGTATCATATATATAATATGATCATACCTCTCTCCATTTTTCATATATAAATATATGTGTGTGAGGGGCAGCTAGGTGGCACAGTGGATAGAGCATCAGCCCTGAAGTCAGGAGGACCTGAGTTCAAATCCGGATTCAGGCCAAACACTTCACACTTACTAGCTGTGTGACCCTGGGCAAGTCACTTAACCCCAATTGCCTAAAAATAAAAAATAAAAATAAAAAAAAGATAAATATGTGTGTGATTCATTTCAAAGAATTTTATGTATTTATATATATGTATATATATATACACACATCAAGAAAGAATGTGATCGCATATATGTGTGTGATTCATTTCAAAGAAGTTTTAAAATTTTCACTAATAAAGTCATTTTTCATGTCTGATTTATTGCATCCCTTCCCCCCACCACCCTTTTAATATTCCACGCCATAATAGTAGTTTCCCAGCCAGCTGCAAGGAGATAGTCTGACCCTGATGTTTTAGATAGCCAAATACTTATTTCAACAAGAAATAATAGAAGTACAGAGTTGGGTTTATCAGAGTTAGCCTCACAAGCTTAGAGGCTTAATAGATTTAAGGAAATGAGGAGTGTTGTAAAAAAGGAAAATTGAGGGAGAGATCAAGGCATATGAAAATAGAGAATAATTGAAGATTTTATTGTAATGAGGCAAAAGCCAACCATCAGTGATACAAGTTGAAAACCAAGTTGGCCAAGAAAAAGCCAAAGCTCTGAGTAAGGACCTTATCATGCAAAATCATAGTTTGACTCTTCTAAAGATATTGTATGAAATGTAAAGCTTTCCTGTTTTGAAGGCTAAAGCTTGGTGTTTAGCATGTAAATACTCTGTTAAATGAAAATTCTAGAATGTCATCTGAGTTTTGTAAAATCTTAAATGATTTAAAATTAGAATGATATGCATTTGCTTGCCTTTACCTACTTGATTTGAAGAGAATATGTGATTTATGTCCTTTAAAATATCACTCTACAAAAGCAATGAATTCCGTTAAGTTAATAAAACTTGCTTCAATTTTGCATCTGGTGAAAAGCTTTAAATTATCCCCTGTGTTTATTCTATAAGGTAAACCAACAAGAGTCAGGTTTTATTTCACATTTAAAATCATTCTTCACTAATTCAAAATAATTGGGTTGCAGAAAGAAAGGCCTAAATGAATTAGTAAAAACGAAACAAAAACCCCTTATAGTTTGTGTATAAAACAAACAAAAAAAAGGTTAATTACTTTCACCTTCACTAAATTCACCCTTACATGTTTCCATGCCTCAGATGACTCAGTGTTCTCACAGAGTGTGTCAGTGGGTCACAAGCTCTGGCAAGTTCTAATATACTAAGTTCTAGCAAAATAGAGATTTCTTTGGGCCTGCCTGATTTAATAGATGAGTAATTTGTAACTGTACATATTTGTATATAGTTAAAAGAATAAACTGCTTTAAAAGTTTGCGCTAAGAGGTAGGTTAAACATATACCCTGAGTGATTTTGGGATGAATTTATCTAACAAACCCTGTTTCCATAGATAATACAAAGGCTGTCTGTAGCCCAGCTCAAATTAGAGGACTTCAAGTTAATATGATTTTACTGTATATGTCAAAAATAGACCCGATTGGACTTTCAGTGATCAACATCTTTAATGAGATGAAAAGGTTTATCGTTTCCTTTTTATAGTTGTGTCACTGCTGTTGAGTAAATGCTAAAATTTCTCCTATGGCAGCACTCAGACTTATCTGATCTGCTAAACTTTTCCATAAAGTACATGAAAACTTTGTATGGGTACCATACTGAAGTTTGGAGCAAAAGTTCAGAGAATTAATTTATAGGATACTTTTACTGGCATCTCATGGGAATGGCTGGCTTCCAGTTTCCATAGCAACTGACAGAAAATCTTCAATTACTGGCTTAATAAATAGAAGCATTTTTTTAAGAGAGTGGATCCCATGTTGTTGGAGAAGCCTCCTTTTTGAGCCCTATGACCCCACCACTATGGAAGTGAATAGATTTGTTCCCTTCATTTATGCACAACTACATTATTAAATATTTTATGACCTCCACTTTTCCTAACAAATTATTGCTCAGCCTGTACCGTTGCCATATTTTTATAGTATTCACTAAAAATTGTCTTGGTGCCAGGTCTCTGAATGAATTTATAGTGTATTTAAAATTACCTCACAATAACCCTGGGAGGTAGGCACTATTATTATCCCCATTTTACAGATGAAGAAACTGGGACTGAGGAAATTTAAATGACTTAGGGTTGAATAGCTAGAAGGTGTCCAAAGGCAGGATTTGAACTCTTGATTTCATGACTCCAAGTCCATTCCTCCATATCCACAATACTATGTTTGTTGTACTAGTACTAAAAAAAAAACCCTAGAAAATCACACCTGTATAGAACTTAATCTTTTGATTTTTTCCTTAGCCTCTAAAAAACATAGTAAACACTCCTTTATCCACTACCACACCTAGCTGCCACCAAATGAAGTGTACATTGCAAATATGATGTACTCTATAGTCTGCATTTGGATCTGATAATAATACTTGCCCACCAACTTCATAGCTACTGGTCCAGTCTTAGAATGAGCACTCTTTGCATTTACATAGACCCCTAACTCATACTCTTTCCACGAACACTGCTTCTCACACAAATGTTGACTTCTTTAATTGTAGTACCAATTTTAGGTCAAAACAGATTGATTAGAAACAATAGCAAAAGGCAGAGCAACATAGTAGGAAATCATATTTGAGCCACCCCTCTCTGTTTTTTAATGGTTTTTGGAGGGAGGAGGGAAGGCAGAGAAGAACAACCAGGACCCTATGAGAAGTACTTCAAATGCCTTATTTAAATAAAAGCTCCCAAACTCAAGTTGTTATAAAAATTGACCTAGGAATTCAGGAAAACGAACAGAAAATGCTGTGGATTTGTTGAAATTACAGTGTCACCTATTATGACAATCAGGGCGTAAGTCCCATATCTAGGACCTTTTGAAGGAAGGTGTAGGGGAGATGCTAAGATTCATGCTTCCTGTTGGCGTGGTTCAAAAGTCAAAAGTAATGGAGGAGAGAGAGCAAAAATCACAATTCCTATCTGTAGCTTATTTTTTTTTCAGTTAATAAGGCTCTAACCTTAAATGTGAAAGGTAAGGCCCTTACTTTTTCTTTTTAGAAAATTATATGTGTAGAGAATTAGTATAAATCTGCTTTGAACTCCCAGCTTTTTTAAAAAGTAAAAATAGTTTGAGGATGTACACTCAGCCTCAGTTGCGTGATGTAGAAGGAAAATGTTATCTTTGAGTTATATGATTCAAGCTAAAAAGCTGGCTGAACCTCATTCTAATTTTTAATTGATCTTATAACACATACACTGTGGGCCTTTTATCACAGGTTGGAAGCTGTGAAATGAGATCATGGGTGGCAGAAACCCAATTGTGAACAAGTCAACTTGAAGCAATTTTTGGAAGATGTTATAAATTGACTCCCTACGTCCTCCCCAACCCACCCAGTTCCTTTCTATCTTTTTAAGTGTTCAGAAGGAAACCACAACAAAATAGAAACTATATAACTTTGATCCTTTAGGGGTGAGTCCTAAAGAAGACAAATCTGAATGTACTGTCTAGTGTGTAACACAAACAGTAAGATACTGAGCAGTGACCTAGTACCATTGGTTTGAACAGGATGTTTGGCAAGCAAATAACCAAGCTCACTGAGAATACCATTTGTAGGAAGATGAATGTATGTCAGTTATGTTGATATTCCTTTTTATCAAGTTTTGTGTCTTATCTTTCTTAGCTGAGGAATATAATTCAATTACACTGAAAGTTCCACCAAGTTCTGACATAATACATCAGGTAAGGAAAATATTTTAAACTATATTTTTTGGAACATTGTATACTCTTAATGATGCTTAAAATTTTTGTCTCAACTGAAGAGGTTTGGATTTTGTTTGGTTGGTTTTTTCTCCCCTTTGGCCTCCTTTAAAAATAATTGTGAGCTAAATGCAGAAATGTTAATTAATCAGTTCAAATTTAAGAGAAAATAGAAATGAACACTTGGAAAACCAATACAGGAATTAAAGAGTAAAAATTCCTGAAGCAAAATGAGCTCACTTATATTAGAAGGTACATTTAAACTAACCAAAATTTTATGGCAATGAACAGACAATGAAAACAGACTTTCTAAATAAAAATTAGCGGGGGCAGCTAGGTGGCGCAGTGGATAGAGCACCAGCCCTGGATTCAGGAGGACCTAAGTTCAAATCTGGCCTCAGAAACATAACACTTACTAGCCGTGTGACCCTGGGCAAGTCACTTAACCCCCATTGCCCAACCAAAAAAAGAAAAAAAAGAAATAAAGATTAGTGGAATTGTAATTTTGGTTTTTTAGATAGTTTAAAATTTTTTTTCCCAATTACATGTAAAAACAATTTTTTTTACTTTTTTTTTTTTTGGCTAGGCAGTGGGGTTAAGTGACTTGCCCATGGTGACATAGCTAGTAAGTGTCAAGTATCTGAGACTGGATTTGAATTCAGGTCCTCCTGACTCCAGGGCCAGTGCTTTATCCACTGTGCCACCTAGCTGCCCCTAAAAACAATTTTTAACATTCATTTTTAAAAAATGGAGTTCCACAAGCCATTCCCCAATCGATAAATGGTCAAAGGATATGGACAGTTCTCAGATGAAGAAATTAAAGCCATCTATAGTCATATGAAAAAATGCTCTAAATCGTTATTGATTAGAGAAATGCAAATCAAAACGACTCTGAGGTACCACATTACACCTATCAGGTTGGCCAATATGACAAAACAGCAAAATGATAAATGTTGGAGAGGGTGTGGGAAAATTGGAACGCTAATACATTGTTGGTGGAGTTGTGAAATGATCCAACCATTTTGGAGAACAATTTGGAACTGTGCCCAAAGGGCTACAAAAATGTGCATACCCTTTGATCCAGCAATAGCACTTCTAGGGCTATATCCGAAAGAGATCAAACAAATGGGAAACGGACCCACATGTACAAAAATATTCATAGCAGCTCTTTGTGTGGTGGCAAAGAATTGGAAATTGAGAGGATGCCCATCCATTGGGGAATGGCTGAGCAAGCTGTGGTATATGAATGTAATGGAATACTATTGTGCTGTAAGAAATGATGAACAGGCTGACTTCAGAAAAACCTGGAAAGACTTATATGGTCTGATGCTGAGTGAAGTGAGCAGAACCAAGAGGACTTTGTACACAATAACAGCCATGTTATGCAATGACTGAGATTGTTAAACTGAACCTTTCTCAGCATTATGAGGATCTAAGACATTTCCAGAGGCCTTGGGATGGATAATGCTGTTCACATTCAAAGAAAGAACTATGGAAGTCAAATCACTCTCACTTATTTTTACCTTCAGTTGAGTTTTGTTTCCTCTTTCTGATGGTTCCTCCTATTGGTTTTAATTTTTACTTACAACTTCACTAATGTGAAAATATGTTAAATGGGTATGTAAATGTAAAGCCTATATCAGATTGTGTGCCGTCTTGGGGGGGGGGAGGAAGGGGGAGAAAAATTTTCAACTCAAAAGCATATGGAAAAAATAAAAAAATTTAAATAAAAAAAAGGAAAAAATGGAATTCCAAATTTTCTCCTTTTCTTCCGTCTCCCTTCCTTCCCTCTTCCCTAAAAAGGTGAACAATTTGACATAGATTATATATGTACAATTGTGTAAAATATATTGGAATTGTGATTTGGAATGAGCTATTGTATTGCGTCCCAGTAAAACCAGCCATCTCTACAATTTGTCTTTCTTCTAACCATTGTGGTATTTTAAAATTTATAATCCTGATTTTGAAATGCATGTTTGTCTACCCGATGAGGGTAAATGATTTATGCTCTGTAAGTTAGAAATCATAGTTGCTTTCATTCATTTTCTACTTGGTGTGAGGGGAAAGGGAAAGTGTGGTGATGTTTTGTTTTTGTTTTTGTTCTAGTAAAAATCGTGATTTTTTATGGTACTGTATTCTAGGAACCATAGTTTCGCTATGATTAATAAGATAACAGATGATGCATGAAGAATTAAAAGCCAAGGACAGCAATAGAGAAAATTAAAGATAATTTAAAGGGTTTTTTTAATTAGTGGGGCCACCTTGGAATATGGGGTAGCTTGCTGGCCTCAGAATCTGGAGAACCAGAATTCCACTGTTACCTCTGACACAGACTGACTGCATGACCCTGGGCAGAGCATTTCATTTCTCAGTGCCTGTAGGCATCTCTCTAAGATGATCAGGTGTGGAACTAGTACTTGGTTTTTTAACCAGAAGTTCCCCCAACAGCTGAAATATTGGGACTAGTCGCAGAGAAAAAAAATGTGTTATTAATGTAGAGTGAAAGGAAGCTCAAGTGAGACGTATTTGATGGCAAGAATTCATTCCTTTTGTGAATCAAAATACCATTGGGGCAACATTTCAAAATGCTTATTTTAGGGGGAAAAATCTTATACTCAGGAGTTTGTAAACCAGAGAGTGAGGTTTTAAAGTTCTTTTCTTGCATGTTATATCACCCTACACAGAATCAGATCTCAAGGATAGATTCTATCTTTTTGGTGTAGTTTGTTTTTCAGAGAAGCATCTACATTTGTTATCACACAAGGAAGCAAAATTTCAGCTTGAGGTTTTGGTTTTTGTTGCTGGTTTTGGTTCTTTTTGTATTGGTTGCATGTTACTCAACTTAACGTAATTTTTTACCATAGCCACTCTTTGTTATTTTATCGTTCAGTTGTTTTTTAGTCATGTTTGATTCTTTATGACCATATTTGGGGTTTTCTTGGCAAAGATACTAGAGTAATTTGCCATTTCCTTCTCCAGCTTATTTTACGGATGAGGAAACTGAGGCAAACAGGGTTAAGTGATTTGCCCAAGGTTACACAGAAAGTGTCTGAGGTTGGATTTGAACTCACAAAGAGGAGTCTTCCTGATCTCAGGCCTGGTGCTCTCATCGATTGCACCACCTAGCTGCCCTCTATTGGACAGTAAATACTTTTTATTTTCAGAGGTTCTTGTAAGGTCCTAGAATTTCAATTTGGTAAAGGAAATGTTTTATGAAAAGAGACAGTTCTTCTATGCTCCCTTGTGAAATAGGGAGAAATTAATTGGCTTAGGGATGTTCACACTGGTCTCTCAGCGCCTCATCGCATTTTTAGTGTTGTCCATTTCAGTAACTTAAAACTCATTAGCAAAATTGTGCAATGACTAGCATGTGCTAAAACTATATTTAGAGTATTAAATATTTCTAAAAGCATGTCTAGCCTCAAGGGATGCTGGTTCTGTCCTGCACCTTCCATAAACATGAAGTAACTTTTTAACAAGACAAATTTGTAGGTTTGTTTAGTCTTGCTTTTAAAAATTAGTCTGTAATAAATCTTTTCTTATTAAATTGTGATATTCTCGGGCAGGTAAAGCACCCTGGTAATAAAATGAAACTGTACATTAGTTGTGGAATAGGACATTGTATCCCACTTAGAATTAAAACCTACTGCAGCTAATGCTCTCTATCTTCTGGAATCTCTGGCCCTTTCTCCTTTCTTAAACTTTCCCTGAACAACATAAGATGGCATAAAAAGGAAAAATAAACCATTTTTAAAAACTTCGTCCAATGCCCTTGTCTCAAATGTATTGCCTTTTATTTTAATCAGGCTCTCAATCACCAAGTGCCAGGCATTGTGATAGATACTGGGAACAAAAAAAAAAAATTAAAGATTCCCTGTCCTTAAGGAGCTGACATTCTATTTGCAGAGTAAAGTGTTTTGTAAACCTTAACACACTATAAAAATGTGAGTTATTGTTATTATTTTGAAAATGTAGCCTAGTAAGGAAACTCACCTTATTAGAAGAGTTTGGCCTCAAGCCAAGGGGTAGCTTGATAATAGACAGACTTTAAATTTTAGAGTTATTGTTGTTCGGTTATTCAGTCATGTCTGACTCTTTGGGACCTTGTGGACCATACTGTGCGTTTCTTGGCAAAGATGCTGGCATATTTTGCCATTTCCTTCTCCAGTGGATTAAGGCAAACAGAGGTTAAATGACTTGCCTAGGGTCTTACAGCTAATAAGTATCTGAGTCTGGATTTGAACTCAGATCTTCCAAACTCTAGGACCAGTGCTGCATCCCAGGAGCCACCTAGCTGCTTCCTAAATGTTGGATAGCATCCAAAAAAAATTGGTACCGTACCTTGCTTGAATTTAGCTTCATAACAGAGTGTTGGATTTAAGTTGTTGCTTAATAAGTAAGTTGTTGCTTAATAAAATTAATTCAGACTAATTTTGAAGGGAAATTTCAAACTGAAAAGATGGGGAATTCTGTTCCAAGTTAAAGGAAATTGAGTTCACTCCCAACTCCAGTACTTCCCAATCTTGTGACTGTAGGCAGGCCAACTCTATGAGCTTCAGTTTCCTTGTCTATGAAATAAGGCAAACAATATTGGAAGCACCTAGATCACCAGAGTTTGTTACAGGGATGCAGTGAAGTAATGTATCACCTGTGGATCATTATTGAGAGATATACGACTTTTTGGATATTGGCCTGTCCTTGAAATCAGAAAGACCTATATTCTTCAGATATATATTAGCTGTGTGACTATGGTCAAGTCACTTATTTCTTAGCTCCTCCAGGCAAATCTCTTAATACTGTTAAGTTGCAGGTCAGTTGCTGACCTGCATCAGTGGAAATAATTTCCAATCTGGGAGTTCTCTGCTTGGATGAAATTCAAGGTCTTAGACAACAATGACCCCTATCATTATTACCATTATTAATAAAGTAAAAGTTTCCAAAACACAGATTCTTTTAATGATTTCTTCAAATCCTGTCCTCCC